GGCAAAACTAAAAGACAGCAGATCGTGTTTCATAACTAGATGACGTGTATTTTATAAATGAGTGCCGCTCGTACAAGGTAAAATTATGCTAATTTCAATCACCATCATCCTCGAAAACATCTCAGACGTCTTTCTGTTTTTTCGAAACTTCAAAATTAGTTTTCCCTCAGTTTTTTCTGTTTACCTTGTTTTGTTCTAGAGAGAAAAACGGAGAAAAGACCTTACAACTAACTTCAATAAATTTTGTTTACATTCGGTTTCCGGATTTACAATGCATTGTGCGAATCGCCATGGCGCGTTGCACCAGAGAAGCAAAGTTTGAAGAAGTACAACGCCACTATATAAATATATATCAAACTAATTTTTTGTTATGTTATATAAAATTTATCCTCCTTTAACAATTGTAGAAATTGAGGTTAAGAAGTGTTAAGCTTTTGCAAACGAAACGGCGAAAGACGATTAGGTGATAAGTGGAAGGAGGAGGTATTCAACACTTCCAAATTAAACTCAAATTTTGGCATTATACGACCAACAAGTTTGACTTATAGACGTAAAGACACAAACATATGAAACTGTTTATTGATATTGTTATGAAACGAATTTATCTATTTAACATTGTAGCATGAAATTACAGAAAGAAAATAGGATTTCCGGTTTGCAAAAAGGAAAATTTCGCAGGCATTGAAGCGCACCAGAAGCGCGGAAAGAGCGCTTGTGCCAGTCCTACTTCGCATCATACATTAAATGAAGAGCGGAGCGCTCGTTTCACCGCCCAACCTTTATCCGCCTTGCTGGCCACCGCGCCGCTCCGTCGTCATTCATTTAACCAAGAAAAATTGTGCCTTAATTTGGACTATATAAGGGAAAATTAAAGGGGCTGCCACCAAATTGAGTGAAACAGAAAATAGCCGCTAAAAACAGCAGAGAGCGCCTATATAACAAGGCAAGTACAAAATTAAAGGCACGGATGCATGAATAAAGTTGAAGAAGGTTAAAACGGATTGCAATTGTGGGTTTTGAAAATTTGTTAGCCTAACAGTTTTTCAAGATTCTCTTTCGTTCTATTTAACATTTGATATAACGCTTAGAAGGCATCTTTGTTGGAGAGGAAGATGTAATTTTTCATTAGTATTTTTTTTTTTGCTAGCGTTACGTTCCGGATATATGGCGTACGTACTAGGACAGCGATTGACGGGCAAATAATGAACAAGTTGTTTATTGAGAATCGAACCAATGAGGAAATCATAAATTTTGGGCTAATTTTCTCATCGCATTTTTCACGATAATTAAAACCTTCAAACTTTACTATGTTCCCTTTTAAGAATTCATAAGCTTAATTTTGTAGTGTATTGTATGAAGAAACAACAGAATCTTATCAGTGTTTTAAATATACGTCGTAAACGCAAATTTCTTTCGCTTTAACACTTGTAAAACAAATGTAATGGAATTAGATCGTGTATCAATTGTAAATTAAGTTGTCTTGGAATACCGGTAGTGAAGGGTGCCTGCGATCAAACTTAAATCTCATGGCACATTTCGATTCCGAGGCGTCAAAATGCTTATAAGGGTGGCCTAATCAATTGCCAGATTTAATATTTTTACGATCCGCGGTAATTTACAATGAACCTCAACCTGATTACTTTCATTTTATTCATTTATTTTCCTTTCCCAAAACAGTTTGCTTGTTTCTCGAACTTCAATCTTGTTCAACAGACAATTTCTCCACTTGATTCCACTCTGTTTGATCACCTTAAAATATAAAACAATAAAAATTAGTCTAAGAAATAATTCCTTATTTAAGCCCCTAGCTTAGTAAATGATGTTTTGAATATCAGATTAACCAAATGAATCATGTTAATTGGCGTAATTCAGGAATTCTTTGAAAACAGGGAGTAAAAATGAGACTGGAACAAACTGAAGCCCTGTTGTTGGGAAAAATATAATTGTTATATAATGTAGAAAAATAAGCTCGCTCAATATATTGTAGGTTTTTTTTTCTTATTTTGATCGTTAAACCGCCTTGAGATTACAAATGAACCGTCATGATTGAACAGCGACTTTAAGTACTCACTCATCTTGCCGCCATGTTCATGTTCAGCTGGGGTGTCACGACCAAATCCCCAGCTTCTTCGTCTTCTCCGGCTTCTTCGTCTTCTCTTAATTTTAATAAGAGGTTCCGCAGTATGAAAAAGCAGGTCAAGAAGCATCATCAGCAGAAGAAATTTCCACATTGTCTTTCCTCTCATGGTTGTCTGCGTGAACAAAAAAGGATAATGAATGTATTTTCTGTCTCCGCTCGGTTGAAAACCAAAAGGGACATTAAGATCTGTGCCGTGCGGCGACGGCGGCGAAAATGTGGCTTAAAAGGTGAGTTAGCATTCTTTGATTACTACCCAATTAACTTTTCAAAGGCAAGCGAACTTTTCTAACCATATCCAAGTTCAGAAATGTAAAGAAAATTTCGTCGTCGCTTATTTGATCAAGACCTTTATGAACTGACTTGAATTCCCCAATCGGTATTATTCACGCCGTATTCTTAGTAGTCATTTAGTGATGGCAAAGAAATGTACCAAAAAAGTATGCTGTACGTGCAAAATTGTTGTTTTGCTCGATTAAACCGATTCCTTTTTATACGGTTTTCCAGTTGCCGTTGCAGTCGTTGGATCTTATAAGGTCCCCATTAACTTGGGAGCGCTGGCGGGCATTTTTGATAGTTCTCAATTTGGCCCACAATCACTTTACCCACCTTCAGTTAATGAACCTACCTTTGTTATTGAGCAGAAAAAAAGACTGCAATTGGTGAATTTTGGCGTAGAAAAGTACTCCCCAACTTTTTTCAGCGCTAAAGGTCAAAATATCTTTACCGGCACTGACTGCGATTGGCCGCGCAGGTAAAAACACGTTGATTTTGTAGCCTACAACCGTACTTTCTATACCTTACACATCAGACAGGGATGATGTTGTGGCTGTAATCGGTAATCTAAATTTCTCAGTGTCAAGACGGAATCATGTGAAATTTTAATTCCGTTCCAAGAGATCTAGAGTAAAATACTTTTTGCGATGTTCAACTGATGCAATGAACCTGATCAAAAACTGATAGAGGTTTTAATTATACATAGTGAAGACTGTTTAATTTCAATAATGAGTTATACAGCTGTTTTTTTCATAAAAACTCTCTCTCATTAGACTGAGTTCATGCAGCATCATTTCACACGAAATTACTTCTATCATTTAACATATGACAATTAAAATACCCTCATCATAGCTCGCATTTGAATTAATTGATAAATGTTTTTTATTGTTATTATTTTTCGATCATGTCGCCAAATTCTTATACAAACCGGATGAAAAGTGGTAAACGCTAGCGCTGCGAACCTTTCATTGCGCTAGTTAAAGTAAAAGTAAGCGCGACGTACACCGTGTTTTTACAGCAAAAAATTATTTTACAGAATGAAGGCTAATGCTGCCGACAAACCGATTTAGGGAATAGTTAGCTCTCCGTTCATTTTCGACACGTCATATCATTAAATCAATTTAAAGCGATATATAAAACAATCTTATCAGTGTTTTCAGCGATGCTTGAGATCAAAAGTACGTACCAACAACACTTCAACAATATAAATTTCTAACGTTAAAAATAGTCGAAAATGGTACGGTATGTGTTTAGCTACAAAAGGAAGTGGTTAAAAATGAATGACATTCTCCGGCATCCCCTACTTAGTAAACAAAAATATGCAAATACAATTTACTACTTCAGTCTCTATTATTATGCGTGAATTCGAAGTAATGCACTGACATTTCTCGACACTAAAAGGTATTGACGGGCTCTTGATCTAAAGCGACAAAAGAGATTTTCAGCGAAAAAAAAAATGACGAAAATGGAGAACTGTGAAATAGTTACGAAAGAAAGCTAGAACAGGATCTTGAATGTCTTCTCCTTCTTCTTCTGGGCAACATAAGGTAATATGCAAATATATTTTAATATGCTTCAGACTGCTATTGTGTGCCTCAAGAAATAAACTTGCCTTCCTCTCTGATACTAAAAGAAAAGAATATTCCCGTTTCTCCGGTTGTCTTGTCTTAAACACAAGAGACCGAGTCATATTACTTCGATTAGAATATAGAGACTAATAAACTTAAGCTAGTAAGCATCTTTTACGTTACTCTACATTCTCTACAGCAATTAATTACTTAAGTCCGCCATTAATTACCTAATTACGACAGATTTGATTGACAACGCAATACTACAACGGAAGGAACCATGTATTGGGCATATTTATTACGAAATTAGTGAAAATCAGAGAGAGAGCGCTAGCAAAAGAGGTGGCAATAGGTTTCTGCACTGAAGCATAGTTATTAAGAATAAGAAATTTTTTTAGCCCCATGTAAGGAAATCCAGATTCCGGAATTCGAGGAACTTTTGCTTATGGAATCCGGAATATAGCTCAGGAAATACGGAATTCCACCAAGGTTTGGAAACCGGAATCCAAGTCCCACTGACAGCGATTTGGAATCCAGTACCTGGAATCCGGAATCGATGGCGTGGAATTTAGAATCTAAGATTGTCTTGGATTCCCTTTCATTTTGCGATGTTTTAAGTGAAGCTGAGCACATGTAAAGTACGGTACGTTAGAAATACAGTCGAATCCCGATAACTCGAACCCCCTATAACTCGAACCTTTCGCTAACTCGAAGCAATTTTCATATCCCTTAAGATCGTTTTCTATATAATTTTACCCTCGATAACTCGAACTTTTTTCTATTTCCCTTGAAGGTTCGAATTATCGGGAGTCGACTGTAATGATAAAATGATGTCGAGGGAAAGTCTAAACGGGTGGGAGAAAAACTGGCGCGAAGAAAGGTTTTTCACATCGTTTTCAGACCTGAAAAACTTTTACAATTAGCCCCTGCGTTTCCGAGGTAGACTGGGATCAAAAATAGGTTGTATTTGCGCCTCCATTTTCAGCTACTTTTGTCCAGCGGGATTACAAAAATGCAAAATGGCGGCTGTTGTGAGTTCTATACCAAAGTTGGCAAATCTATGGTCTACTCAGCTACGATGCTTTCATCTTTCCGCATTTCTCTCGCAACTAAGAGTTCTTACGCGCCCGATTTGTACTTATAGTGATTATAATCCTTTACTAAACCAAGAATCCTTGCCACGCTTCAAGGAAATCCAACCCGCTCATTTGGCTCCAGCGATCGAACAGCTGACTAAAGATTTCGAGAATGATTTTATTGAGTTTGAGAGAACATTGAAAGGTAATTGTAAGGTTTTAAAATATTTTAATTAACTACTATGCTAGCTGTGTAAAATACTCCAGCGCAACCAGCTAGTATGAGCGACTTCCAAACACGAATGGACTATGGCATTTTGATATATATATTATGCATCAGTCAATTCCCGGTAAGACCATGCCCCACTCCCCCCGGCTGGGACGCAAACGACCTCGTCGTCGATCAACACTGCGGCACTTTTCACTGATCGCACAGCGAGTAGTGCATATTAATGTGTGATTTTTCGTTTTGGTTACCTCTTCCCTTTGTAAAAATGCCATTCTAATGGAGACTTTGCACGCAATGACACCACTTCATGATTCTTATTTTATTATAGCCTGTGAGCAAGCTCACCGCACCCTCTGGCGGCAGGGTGGGAAAAGGAAGAAGTGCTTGCAACTATGTCTCTTTAATTTGAATATATGCATCAAAAAAGTCAATGCGAAATGCTGATTTGCAGTCAGATGACATTAGCAATGACATCATTACTCTTGGCATGTGTTTTTCAATGTTTGTTTACATTTGTGCTTATTTCTGCTTCGCGCTGATTGGTGGAAATTTTGACAACTCAGTCGACGGGGAGACACGGGAATTGGAGGTGGAATTCAAATTCCAGAGATGTAGTTGCAAGCTCTCCTTCCTTTTCCCGCTCCACCGCCAGAGCGCCCTAGAGAGCTTGCTCTCAGGCTAATTTTATAATCATTGTCTACTTCTTTTAAATAGTTCATTGGTAGTGTGCTGTATTAAAAGTTATCTGTTCTGAATAGTTAAATAATATGAAAAAGTAGATGAAGTTCCTCAAATGATACATAATCATAGCTAAAATTAGAAATATCACCATCGCCAAATTTATTCAAATCCTAGATCAACAGAAATTTCTTTCCATAACCAAAAGAAAAAATGTGTAAATTCACATCAATAGCTCCTGACTTCTGGCTTGATAAGCAATGAAGAAAGGCAGGCAAGTTTTTCCCGTCCTAGACATGTGAACCAATCTTCGAATCTGCTTGTGTTTCCAGTGAAATTCTCCACGTTTAGTGTTATGTTTGGGTGCAGCTGGAATTGACTGATGTCCATTAGAGGATTTTGTCAGGGGTAGAGTAAAAAATTTATGGAATTTTTTGGGTTGGAGCCTTAATTTCCACAAAATTCTTCACAGTTAGACCTATATTCTCTAGTAGCCTGGCAGCAGGTTCTGCTGTGAGGGAAAAATGGAAAAAAACGGAGTGAAACGGCATAGAAAATTGGTGAGCGGAGTGAGCTGAATAGCAGACTAGACTGGTTTCCTTCCCCAGACTACAGCGTTTTATTTGTTGTTTTTTTTTTTTCATCTTTTTGCCCAACTGCGGAGCCTCGTCCCGGGCTAATTCTTCTTGAGTAGACCCATATTCTTCAGCTCAGGGGTAGACTGATATTTTATGGAATTCCTCAGGGGTGCATGCAATTTTATTCCATCTTCAGGGGAAGGAAGAAAATGATAATATTATGTACCCTAGCTGTCATGATACTGATTCAATAATTTGTCAATTAAACGAAAAAAAATATATTATGTATACCTATGGAAGACTTTTACATATTTCCTAGAAGTCACATTTTACTAATCAGAATATTATAGTCTCACCTTGCTACTGCATGATAAAGAAAAAGAAGAAGAGTCTCCTACAGTTGCAGCTCAACAGAAAGAAATTGTTTGACTTACAGTCCATGTATGTTCATGGACTGTACATGTTCTTTGGACCTGCTAGTTTTATAATCAAGGCATCAAGGCCGGCAATGATATTTATCTTATGCCATGTTTTTAGTTTTTAGTGAAAACAATTCCACGAGTGATAGAGCTTGGGAAACAGTTGTTGAGCCTCTGGAAAAAATAGGAAGTCAGCTAAGTTATGCTTGGGGAGTGGCATCACATTTAAATGGAGTTCGTAATAGTCCAGAATTACGTACTTCTTATGAAAAGGTAAGCATTCTGTTGTTAATAGATCTTTATACCACAATGACTTAGTAGCTTTTAGTTTTATCCTTTTTTCTGTTTTGCATAGTCACAAGAAGATAGCACTTAAAAACAAAGGCAGAAGTATGCAGCACCCATCATGCAATAATTGCATGTACACGTAACTTTAATAGAGGGAAAGGCATAAAACTTAAAAACTTAGCTTTTTATTAGTTCTTTTATTAACTCAAATTTTACTTTTATTGTTTTCCGAAAATTGTAAATTATTATTATTATTATCATTATTTGGACTAGCCATTTATTCCTTTAAGATTTTAGTGTTGTAATGCGCACTCGATCATATCTTTATCGCATGCTAGACTGCGCAATATAAGAAATAAACATTATTATTATTATTATTATTATTATTATTAAAACTATTTAACCGAGCAAATAAATTGTCATTGTAATCAGCCCTGTTTAAATGGGCTATTTGGCTGATTGTAATTTTGCAGTGGGTTTTTGCTGTTATTAAAACTTGTATAATTTACTGTGTTTTATCAGGTTCAACCACTAGTTGTCAAAGTGGCCATGAAGGCAAAACAGAGTGTTCCTTTTTATGATGCACTTTTGGTAAGTGTAATGCTCAATAGTAATGGTACATGCACGAGCTTTACATGAGGCATTCTTCAAGGTTAACTATAATGCAAAAATTATAATTAAAGTCAATCCAGTTCATGTTGTTTTTAACCCTTTAAGCCCCAGTATCCACATACAAATTCTCCAAACTGATCTCCATACATTTCCTTTAAGAATTAGTTGAGAGAATTTAATAAAATATCAAGGCATTTTCTCTTTCGTGACCATTTTTTATATTCTCACAACCTTATCTCTTGACAATGTATGGACATTGTTAGGAGAAAATTGCTGTTGGTCACTATTGGAACTTGAAGGGTTAATATTAAATTGTTAATGACAAAATCACAGCTCCATAGGAATCAATGGCCTCCAAAGCATGATTGATATTCAAGTTAAATACAGCAACGATGAACCTGGAAAAACTGTCAGTCAGACTATATAACATGTTTGCAATTTGTGTTTGAATCTTTTTCAGTTTTGGCCCTCTATGCCTTCTTTTGTATTTGCTCTGTGTCATGTCAATCATCTTTAAATGTTTTAAGCCATAATTTTCACAATAATAAGTGAAAGGACAACTTAATTTTGTGGCCAAAATTCTCACAGTATCTCTCTGTATCCAAATTGGATATACAGGTATAATGTATCCTTGGAAAAGAGTAGTCACACACCAGTTTTTGAACTCAGATAGAGGTTTATTCCATACACTGTAAACTGCTTTCTGTACACTCTTGAACACTGTAGACTCTGAGAGTCAAAAAAACTGGTAACTTATTCTGCTCTATCTTGGTGGTTTAAGTTTTAATGCTGCTTGATCGCATTTATACTTCAAAAATGTCCTCATGGGAGTTAATTAACTTTACGTTGTAAGCACTATTTTAACATGACCAGGCTTTAACACTTAATTGAGAATAATATAAAACAGAATCTCTGTCTTAACCCTTTAAGTCCCAATAGTGACCAACAACAATTTTCTCCTAACAATATCCATACAAGGTCAAGAGATAAAGTTATGAGAATTAATAAAATGATCATCATAGAGAAAATTCCATGATCTTTTATCAAATTCTCTCAACTAATTCTTAAAGGAGATGTATGGAGATCAGTTTGGAGAATTTGTAAGTGGATATTGGGGCCAAGAGGGTTAAAGTCTGTAACTAGAATCTTTTATTTTACTGCTTTTACACTGTATAAACCTGCTGACTTGACCATCTTATTTATTTACATGTGAAAGAAAGTTGAGAAGGACCAACTTACACTTGATGAAGGGCAGCAGCGCATAGTAACTGCTTTTCTAAGATCAGCCAGAAATGGTGGAGTTGGCTTGGAGGGAAAGGAAGAAGAGAGATTCAACACCATTCAGTTGAGACTTGCTGAGCTAGGAAATAAATTCAGGTAAAATCATGGTGCAAGTCTCACATCTCACAGGGGGCACATTCACTTGCATGGGCATCACAGATTGTGTTCTTCTCATCTTTTTTCCTTTTTTTACTTCACTTATCCATCTTTTGAAAGTGAATACTATTCACTATTCTAATAATAGTACAATGGTGCAGTTGTTTCTATTATTAATAGAAACAACTGCACCATTGTACTATTATTACTTTTTTTTTTATCAAATATGAGGGGCAAGTCACACAACAGCTGGTTGTCTATATGCTCAAATCTAGGCATATGACTGTGTAAGTGTCCTCCTCCTCATCATCATCATCATCATTGACATTATCATCATATCATAGTTTAATGGTTGTAGTGCCAGAAAGCATGCAAGGCCCTACTGGTTCTCCAGGTAGGGGATTTAAGGCAAAGTTAGAGCTAACAATAGACTGCCTCAAAAAAGCCACTTAAAATACAGAAACCAGAAAATTTAACAATTCTCCGATATTCTTTCACTTGTGTAGTAACAATGTCTTAGATGCAACAAAGTCATTTTCAATGGTCTTGACTGATCCTGAGGATGTTGCTGGATTACCATTGTCACTGCTGAAGTTAACTGCAGAGGCTGCAGCAGCAGCTGACAGTACTGCAAGTAAAGAAGAATCCAGGTCTTATATTTTGATAATTCTATACTGCATGTGTTAATTAACCAGTGTCCACATTAAGCAGGTGAATTTTGGAGAAAACGATAATTGAGCTTTTCATCAGGACAAACGAAACTGTCTCTTATATGTGGGTATCTATATAAGCGGGTGTCCATAGAACAGGGTTTCACTGTACATGTAATCTCAGCATTTTCCATTCAAGGTATATCCATGTAACAATTGAAGGAGAAATCGCCCACAATCTAAAAAAATAATAATATAATATCGCTTTTATATTATAAAACAGTGTTAGTGCTTTAATAAACTCACTATATGATATATTTAATTTGCCAGAAAGCACACGGATCCCATGGCTGGACCTTGGAAACTTAGTTTGGATTTGCCATGTTTTGAGCCCTTCATGAAATATAGGTAGGTACATGTAACTTAGCTAAAATTGAAATACTCACTCCAGACAGTCTAATAGTAAAAACGATAACGATAATTTAGGCTTTTAGAATTAGAATTTTAGAATAAGGCAGTTCTACTTTAGCAATTAATCCAATAATTAAAGGCCCCCCTCCCCCCCACAAAAAAAAAATCTTTAAAATTGTATGAGCGCAGACTTTTAGTTTAGCCATGATACAGTGATCCAAAAGGAACATGTCACCTGGTCAAAAAATTAATTTACACTATCCTTTACACTATTTATAAAACTCCGGAATTCTATTAATGTCTTATCTGTTACAGGTATTCTGAATTTGGGCTTACATGAAACCTTAAATATGGTCTTGAATTTTTTGACAAAGTAATGTTATTTTTAGAGAACACCAAAAGAAATGCAACATTTTAATCAATGATTGTTACAAATTCGTTTTCGATTAACAGTCAGAGTAGAAACCTGCGTGAAAAAATGTACATGGCATATATCACAAGAGCATCACATGGAGATACCAATAATTCAAACATCATTGAGGAAATAAGGCAATTAAGGTATGGTAAAAAATTTAAATCTGCCCTTCAATACCGCCTGTACTTGTAACTATTGCCTATATTTATGAAATCATAGACCCTTCCACGGCTTCTTTCAACTTTTGACTGGGTCCAGCGAAAATCCGTATTTAAAGAACACCTTAAAATCAGTAAAAGATGTCAAGTTTGAAAGTGGTTTTTTAAAACTAACGAAAATAAAGCTCCGCAAAAACGTTTGTAGGGTGGGGGGCAAATTTCTGCCCCAGCTTCACTCACCCCCCACCCCCCCACTACGCAAAGGGTTGAAGAATTTCTCGACTTCTTGCAGAGATATCTTCACTCTCTTCTAGCGTAACATTTTTAAACTCAGTAAGCTTCCTAATTTTAGGTACTTTCTTGCAGTAGCGTAGATATACATTGTGTTCGCTAGCTGGCGTTTATCAAAACTTGAAGAAAAAAAAGCGTGGGTCTATTCACTCGGCTCTTGTATGAGGAGAATTCTGTGCTAATAATAAAATGTACATCTGGATATGTAAATCTAAATGTTTTTAGCTGGAGGTATGAACTGACATTGGGCCTTCAAGCACAGTTCACGGGTGCTATTAAATTAATTTGACTCAACGGCTAGTTACTCATGGAATTAATTTATTAACCCTATGTTGCGCATTGTAGGCGAGAAAAAGCTGACCTCTTGAGTTTTCAGAATTACGCCTACTTGTCCCTGGACTCTAAAATGGCTGATAGCCCTTCAGAAGTTTGGAAAATGATCAAAGACTTGCAGAGTAAAAGTAAGACTGGAGCGAAATCAGAACTACAAGCTCTGCAGGTAACAAATGCAATAAAAATCATTATCCTAAGTAATAGTTGTGATAGGGTAACAAAGAAAAATAATGACTGTGATCATGGTGAGAATGATTATGATGATAATATTGATGGCAGTGACAATGGCGATGGCAATGGCGATAACAGTGGTCAATCAGGGCTGTGCGCTATCAGAGCCCGGTGGCCTGTGGCACCCAACTTTTGCTCCTGGGCGACTAGAAAATCTCAGATTTTTCATACAAATCATATGCTGGGCACCCTAGATTTTACAGGTTCAGAGTGCTGGGCACCCGTCAATTTTCCTTAGAGCACAGCCTTGTCAATGGTCATGATGATGACGATGACTATTACAACAATAGGGAGCTTAAGCAACTACGACGACGACCACAACGACGAATTCAAAAAAACAAAAGGTTTAATGATCAAAACAACAGCTCTGCACGTGCATCACGCTTTTTAGTACATTTCTTTGACGTCCACTGCACGACTATGACGTAAAATCTCCTAATTTGCCGTTTTCTGAAGGACGTGGATGTGCGACGACGAATTTTCCTTCCCCTTTTAGAACCTGAATAAAATCCTTAAGAATTCAACTCCAGGAAAAGTCGCCTGCATTTGACATATTGAGCAGGTCCAACGACGCGATTAAGTTTGAAAGAACGCAAATTCATTTTTTGTACCGACGTTTTCAATGCCGTCGTCGTCGTCCTCGCTTAAGGTCCCTAGTGATGATGGCGACGACGACGACGACGACGATGATGATGATGACGATGATGATGATGATGATGATGATGACGACGATGATGACGATGATGACGATGATGATGATGATGATGACGATGATGA